AGAGAGAGAGAGAGAGAGAGAGAGAGAGAGAGAGAGAGAGAGAGTTGAGGTTGATAGACGTGGAGTTGTACCCTTTTTTGTCTTTTTTTTTGCTTTTGTATATAAGTTTTGATTTCGGCTCGGGCAATTCGCCCTTATTTTCCTTCGGAATCTTTGTCTCGACGTTGGCCCTTGTATGGTGTCCTACTTAGTCTTGGTCCTTCCTCTTTTGTGTATATTGGATGAACGAGTTCTCATGGAATGATATGCTTGTCGTTTTTGCCTAATCATCATCGTTGCTTGTCACTTTGATCTGTTGTCGTCACAATAAAAGCTTAATGTGGCTGCGGTGTTTGATGTGTGCGATGTCATTTTGCATAATTGGGAATGATTGTTTGCGGGCTCACTGAAGGGTTGGATCGCTGGATGATTGTCTCCGCCCCATGGCGATTTTGCATATAGGACTTAAACCCTCTTGCATGAGAATCGAACGACGAACATGTGTGCGATCGAATACCTCGTGTGCGCACGTGTAAGCGCGACCTACACGTGTCCACACGCGGTCGATTCGCGACCACTGATGGACTTGGCACCTTTGGTATCGAGATGATTGCGGACTTTCCCTTTGCGGGAGTTTGTGCACACGTGTGTAAACCCGACCGAAGGGGACGGGGCCTACATGCGTGTCTACAAGCCTGCACGCGGGCTATGATAGCGTTCTTGCTAAAATGACAAGATGTCGCGGGATCCGGAGTACAGAGAATACTGGGAAGAACAACTCTGGCTGCGGGGGAATTTGAGAAATCCGGAATTCCCCTGTCTAACCGAGAATGACCCCATTCCACCGCACCATAACCAGCGACCCGAGGGGCCCTGACTACCCGACCACTTATAACACACAATATTTCATATCCCCCGGCTTCGTCGTTATCGCCACCAATTTCCCTCCCTTCCATCTCCTCCTCCCATACCACCAACTCACGGTGGTATCGTGGAATTCCATAGCCCCGTATTGACCCCACACGCCGTGCGAAAATTGCAGACGGCGCGGCAACCGCCGAGCCTCTGGAAGTACGGAGCCTAACCATAACACGCGACGTTAATCGCCACGTGTCCGCCCCCGGAGGTCTGACCCGTAGAAATCGCAACCCTCGCGAACGGACCTCTCCCGAACCGCCGTCACTGGAACGGGCGTATCGGACGGCCCCAGGACGCACCGCGCATGCCATCTGCCTTATGCTGCACGACATCAACTGCCATCAGATCGAAAGTAACCCGTCCCTTAGCCTCATTGCACTTATACCCCTGAAACCTTGCCACAGGAGATCTCAGTTCTGACCTGGGACTCCACCCCCAATTTCCCAAAAATCCTTGGCACGCCCCTTTTCGCACTTCCAGGCCCACATCCCACTCCGATCAGGAAGTCGCGCCGGGCGTGAGGTTGGGCGTCACACACTCTTGTGAATCCTGGAGTGCAGTGCAACCTGGTTTGTCCATCCACACCCAGGCTTGCTCTAGAAATCCCGCACTCTTTCAAGAAACCATCCGACCACCCTTGCAAAAACCGTGGTTGCAGGCAGGCGTGCAAGAGTGCTCTAGCAAGTCTTCGGCCGACGGTGCCCTGACAGCTCGTGAAGTGCAGCGATGCGCAGCTTATGAAAAAGTGCATTTCGTAAGTAGTGCAGCCAGGCCCATTGTCATGATCAATTTCGTGTCAATTACCTTTTGTGGGCTTGTTTGGCCTTTTTCGGAGCCTTTTGTGGGCTTCCATTCTGTCATCTCCCTTGTGCTCCTGGCCTGTCCTCGAGGTGCTTTCCCTGCCCCAGGCTGCTACCTGCACTGTCGTAGTGCATCATCAGTTCATGGAAATGCAGGTGGCCAAATGCGAACCTCATTGTTTTCCTGAGAAGAAGAACCCCGTCTCCCCCTATTACCCCTCCTGAGAAGAAGAGCCCCGTTCCCCCTACCTGCCCAGCCCGCTATCCCCTAGCCCTGTCCCCCCCCCCCCCCCCCCCCCCGCCTGCGCTCCCCCCCACTCCCCCCCTTCCCCCCCCGGCGATACGTCAACCTACTATCTCAACCTCGATGCAATCTAATGCGATAGTGGACAATAATACAACCTGCCCTCTACAATCCGCTTCGATCACGGAAAACGGAGGCGCGCAATGGGTGTAGAGTCGTGTGGCCCGCGTGCCCCCGCGTGCGCGATCTGCTGGGAAATGCGCTGTTCGCGTGAGTGCAAGACGTCGTTCCCCTTTCTTCGCCCTGGCCTGCCGTATCCGTCTGCATTCTTCTGTGTAGGGAAGTGCAATGTAACAGAGATTTCCAGATCGGTCATACCTCGCGAGGACGCACTACACAGGGAGCGCCGAAGCCGAGGCACGCAGTCGGGATCCAAAGCGGGGCCTCTGTTAGGTTTGTAGTCGCCGATTAGGGTTTTATTTCCCCGTCACCCACCGCTGAGTTTCCCGACTCCGACTCTTCACCGTCGGCTTGCAATCCTGAACCGCCTATCCCTTTCAGGAGGAGGCGTCCTTTTCGTCCTGTTCCTGCCGCCTCCCGCTCTTCCCGTGATTGATTAGCAACAAGAACCAACGGCTCCCGGACGGAGTCGAGAACAACGTTTTGCTGTTGTCCTCGGGATTCGAACTCCTTCCTTGTCAACGAATTATACGTTAGGCTGATGTCTTCGAGGCCACGAGTCGATTCTTCTTGGTCACCACAACCTTAGCGTGCCGTCCGATTGCAGACCGGAGCGGCCCTTCACTGTCGGGACATACACTACGGTAGCGCCGGAGATCTGCTCGCCGACTTCCCGAGCCACTGCCGCAATCGCTCTTCAGGTGGGCGCAAACCCCCCCCCCCCCCCCCCCCCCCCCCCCCCCCCCCCCCCCCCCCCCCCCCCCCCCCCCCCCCCCCCCCCCCCCCCGAGGGAACATCTTCTCGCCTCGTTACCGTTTCCTGCACGGCATCGCAGATGTCCATTCGCATCGGCGCCCTTACAAAGTTTGGCAACTCCTGGAGGGCTCTTCTAGGGTGGGTGCTGTCGTGCGGCGCCCATCGGAATCGGAGTAGTTCCTTTCCCTTTCCCCGGCCATGGCCTGGAGGAGGTCGGCCAACCTTGAGAAACGTGACCGTGCTCGTTCGTGACGTTTGTAAGTTGTACGACCTGATTGCACTGACTGTAGTGGTGTTCTACGTGGCATTACTCGTAGGGGAGACGAGAAGTTGCCCCTCCTGGCGTGACAGCCAGCTATTGTTCTCTTCCTCGCCCGTGATGCTGACGCTTGCCATGCTGGCGGCTCATCAGCTGCCGGCCTGAGAACGGCGGCGGCACCTTTGTGGAAGCGTACGCCTGCTTGGGATGGTCGCTGTGATTGAAGGGACTGCATATATGGACCATGGAATGCGACCCAGGGCACGTGCGCCAGGCGGGGGGTGAATAAGTCGTCAACGGTCTTCGAGGATCGGCTAATTAACGAACGAGCCGCGGGGTGAGGCTGGGCTCAGGTCCGGCAGGGGAGGAGGGAGTGTTGGCAAAGAGGTGAGAGAGGAAAAGGGGGAGAAGAGAGGGCGCGCTGTGTGTGCACATTCGAAATAACCATCAGGCGGGAATTGCCCGGGAGTTAGGTAGGAGGTAACAGCAGGAGCTAGAGCGAGGGGGGGGGTTGGTTCAAGAAGATGACCGGGAAGAGGTTCACCCGCGGAAGCGCCGCGGCGGCGGCTTCTGGTGCCATGGATGGGCCCATCACAAAGATCGACGAGGAGCTGGCGCCCAGCGTTCTTCGGCAGGTAGAGTACTACTTCAGTGACAGCAACTTGCCGAGGGACAAGTTCCTGAAGGAGAAGGTGGAGGAAGGTGGAGGCGTTGTAAGCATCTCGCTCATCTGCACTTTCTCGCGAATGCGTGGCTGGCTACAGATAAAGTCGGAGGACACGCCCATTCCCATGGCAACGGTTCTTGAGGTCGCTCGCGTTCTGGAAAGGTCAACTATGTTGAAGATCACGGAGGACAAAACGAAGGTAGGTCGGGCGGAAGGTCTCGTGGAGGGTGATGCGCTCACCGAGAAGATAAACGCCAGGAGCCTCTATGCGGCTCCCTTTCCTTGGAACGTAACCTTCGACGCGGTGACGGAGTTCTTCTCGAAGTTCGCTAAGGTAAACAGTGTCCACTTGCGCCGCCACAGCATGAGCAAAGATTTTAGAGGGTCCGTGTTTGTGGAATTCGCGACGGAGGAAGATGCCAAGCGAGTGAAGGCGATGAAACTGCAGTTTCAGGGAGCAGACCTGGAGATGGAGGGAAAGGCCAGCTTCTTCGAGAAGAACCCGTACGTTGAACGGAGCAAGAGTGACAGGAGAGACGGCGGCGGCATGGACGAGGAAGAACGGCCCGCGGATGAAGGTGGCGCCGACGCAGAGGAAGACAACGACGCAGATCTGCTGGACTATCCCAAAGGCGTAGTCGTTGCTTTGATCTTGAAGAGGAAAGGTGAGAGCGCCGGCGATCTTCCTCCTCCCGCTGCGGCGACCGACAAGCCCAATGGGTCGGCGAAACCTATCGAGCAGGAAGAGGAAGCTGAGAAACGAGGGGGGACCGAACCCTCCGCCGAGCAGGCTGTGACAATTAAGGAAGATACCAAGGAGGAGCCAGTTGTGAACGGCGCCGGAAAGGAGGAAGGAAAGGGGGGGGAGGGACAGGAAGTCGGAGAAGATTTGACCAAGTCCACAGAAAACAATGTGGGGCAGGCGACGGGGGAAGCAACGAGCGATGGTGCTGCGGCGGCGGTAACGGCGATGGAGGAGGATCATGCGGCTGCAGGCCAAAGTGGGGGGCCAATGCCAATGGAGGAGAGCGGAAAGACGGAAAAAGAGAAAGAAGGGGATGCCATAGCAGATCCTGTAAAAAAAGATGGGGAAGGAGAAGTCGTGTGCAAGGACGGAACGGAGAACATGGTACCGGAGGAGAGCGAGAACGGGGAAAAAGAGCCGACGAAGGCCGATGACATTCCGATTGCCGCTGAAGAGGACGGATGTGATGGCTTGAAGGATGCAGAGGGCAAAGAGGCGACTGAGGCCCAAGAGGGTACTACCAAGAAGGCGACGGAGGGGGATGCAGAGGAGGCGGCATCGAAAACTACGGAGAAGGAGGAGGAGGTTGTGGAAAAGAGTGAGCAGGAGAAATCGACGGATGGGGCGAAGCCGGAACAGGAAAAGCCGAAGGAGGAGACAAAAGAAGAGGACAACAAATCGATGGTGGAAGATGCGAAGGATGAAGAGGAGAAACCGGAGGAGGAAGCCGACCATGTGATGGAGGAGGTAAAGGAAGGAGGAGCCGAAGGCGGAGGCGGCGGAGATCGAGAGAAAGCGCGCGATGAACAGGAGGAAGGTATCAAGCGAGAAGATCTGCGTCATCTTTTTGAGGAGTACGGGGTTATAATGTACGTGGACTTTTCGATCGGAGAAGAGAAGGGATACGTGAGATTTGAGTCGGAGGGGGAAGGGAAGGCGGCTGTGGAGGCGGCGCAGAGAGAGGAAGGAGGTGCGTTCGAAATGAAAAACAGGAAATTGTATGTGCGGTTGCTCGAGGGAGACGAAGAGAGAGAGTATTGGGCAAAGGTGAAGCAGTCCCAGGCAAGGTATAGGGAAAGTAACAAGTTTGGAGGGAGGGGACGTGGGCGCGGAAGGGGAAGGTTTGGTAGGAGAGGCGGCGGCGGCGGCGGCGGCGGCGGCGGCCGAGGCAGAGGGGGCTACAGAGGCCGCGGAGGCAGGTTTTCCAACGATGGCAAGCGTTCTAGGGAGTATCAAGATGCGGGTAGAGGCTCCAAGTCCGCCAGAACAAGCTAGTTTCTTTGCGGGGTCTACTTTTGTCCGCCTAGCAGGGCTCACGTGTGTATGTGTTCGCGTATGTGGGGGTGCGTTCGTGTGCCCCCGCGCGTGTGTACGTGTAAGAATGGGTGTGAGCGAGCGAGCGAGCGAGCGAGAGAGAGAGAGAGAGAGAGAGAGAGAGAGAGAGAGAGAGAGAGAGAGAGAGAGAGAGAGAGAGAGAGAGAGAGWKWRGTSTGSAGARKGGGGAGGGCTGTTAATGAGAAGAGTATCTCTTTGTGCAAGGGATTTTGTAAAGCGAGAGATTCAGTCGAGATGAGGGGGGGATGACCTTGCTGGACTTTGGCACGGTTAGGTTGTATAAGATCAGGGCAGAAAAGCGCGGGACGCTGTGAGCTTCCCGTAGCCTTGACGCTGTGTCAGTGTATTAACGCCTTGAAAGCAGTTGGCATCTTACTGTATGTGCCTTCTTGTTCGGATTTTCTAGTTTTTCAATTCTCTACCCATTTCTGGGTGATGGAGTCGAATGTCTTGGCAATTTGCCCTTTCTTCCTTCGTCTACACCACTCCCTTTCTTCTCGTTTCACGGCCATTGATTTATTTGAATCATTCCCGTTATGTGAATGGTTGATGACACGTGGATGGCCAGCTAAACGCCAGTTGTGTCGTCTGACTGAAAGGGATACACTAGCAGTTCTTGGATTGAATCTGACCTCCTTTAGCGACAGATTCAATCGAAAAAGTGTATATGTAAGCATATTCTTACCGCTGTTTCGATCTTGCAACTCTGGTTGCATGGCTGCAAATAGGCTTGTGTTGTGCTCGCTAGATCACCCCTTCAAGTTTCTTTTTTTTTTATTTTTTTTTATTTTTAACCACGGACCCTGGTTGCTAGATCACCCCTTCAAGTCAAGTAATCCCTATCACCCAAATATTCGCTGTCCCTTTTGTGCTCAAGGACGCTATCAGGACTGCATGATGCCGCACTGTGATGAACGTCCTGCTTTTTTTTTGACATATGGACAGCAGCATGTCCTTTGTCAGGACTGTTTTCATGGGATGGGATGGGATGGTCCGTGCTAGCCGTCCTGCTGAATGGTGTGTGCTGAAGCAGCTCTCCCTGGGTATCTTTGTGAACATCCACGTCATTCTCAGCGTGCCTGTCCTATCTGCCGGGGTGGGGGCTCCTCTTCCTGACTGGTCAATAGAATTAAGCGATCAGGAGCAACACTAATTGTAGAACACATAAAAGAAAGGAAGAGAAAAAGTACAATTTCTGGAGGAAAGAAAAAAAAAACGAGAAAAAAGAAAAAAAGAAAAAAGAAAACAAGAAGAAAGAAAAAAAGAAAAAAATATTTTGAACTTTGTAGTGACAGTGGCAATTGGTTTATTTGTGGGATGTGTCATTTGCTTTCTTCCTTTGTCTTTTCTTTGACCTTTCTCTTTCTCTTGCCTCTGTAAGGTCTGGTTTCCTCCTCCTTACTTCTTTACCTCTTTTTTGCCTTTTGGCTGCGTGCAAGTGGGTCCTGACACACGGGGATGGGGACAGCCAGTGCTCAACCTGTCATCCACGTGGCTGGCCTTGTACGTAAGAGGTGATGAACAGGTGGGCCTTTCCTTCCTTCTTTTCCTTTCGTTGTTTTGCTTTTTTTTTTTTTCGCCTTCGCGCTCTGATTCACAGTGTGACAATATAATATATGTGTGTGTGTGCATCCGACGAAACAGTTTGTCACAGCCCCTCGTTTGTTGTCCTCCTCCCTCTGCCGACGGTTTACCGGGCAGTATATATTCCTGTTTGACGATATATATATATCTATATATATATATATATCTGTTGTTTTCTGCCTACGTTCCACCGGGATAGCTATGACAGACCATCGTTTCGTGGGGGTTTGTGTGCTTATGATGGGGCGTGAACCTGCAGTCTGTAGAGTCTCCCGTCTGGTGTGGGTGAGTGATAGTCTGCCTCGATTTTGAGTCACGTATACCCGTGAGGGCACTGGCCGGTGCCCACCACCTCAGAGGGGTATCAGTTGTCGGGCAGTTGGTGATGCTTAACCGCAACCGGGGTTAAGGTGGATTGTCACTTACAGCATAGGCGGTTAGGGGATTGTGCAGACGTAGAGGTTTCAGCCTCCTGATGAGCTGGAGGAATGACGACGAAGCAGCCTTTCATAGCCCCTCGTTTTTGGTCTTTTTTCCCCCTCTCTGCTGACGGTTCACTGGCCAGTCTTTGGGCCTCGCTGCACTACTCTCGAAATGTGCAAAACGAGAGTGAATCTTCCGCTAGAATATGGAAAGAGGCACCGCCATGATTTCTGTCTTTTGTGCATGTCGAGAGTACCAGCGAGGCCCTTTATGCTGTCCGACCGGCGGTAGTTCGTCATGGCCAGTACATGGGACCGCAGCATGGTGGAAAAGAACGAAAAAGGCTTGCGAGCTATCGGTCCATTGATCTGGCCGTAACAGAGGGCAAGTTGTAATCGTAGGCTTCGGTAAACGTGTGCCCTATGTATCCTTCAGTCAGGTCTGTCTTGATGGCGCGCCTACCAATTGACAGACTTGTTGGTGTCTTGATGGCGCGCCTACCAATTGACAGACTTGTTGGTGCAATCCATGGGTGCGGCGCTACCTTTGGTCTCGCTCCACTACTGTGCACGTGCACAACAGACGAAAAGTATGGTGGTGTATCTTTCCATTTTCTAGGGGAAGATCCTTCTTTCCCAATTTGCACATTCGGTTGTTGGTGCAATCCATGGGTGTGGCGTTACCTTGGGCCTCGCTCCACTACTCTCCGCATGCACAACAGACAAAAATTATGATGGTTATCTTTCCATTTCTAGAGGAAGATTCTTTCCCAATTTGCACATCCGGTGAGTAGTGGAGCGAGGCCCCTTGTAAAGTGCAGGCGAAAGCGGTATGTGAACGTTTTTCCCTTTTCTCTTTTCGTGAGCTAGGAAAAGTACCGCTGACCTGTCAACACGGGTGTGTGAAATAGGGCCTCGCCACGCCACTCCCGAAAGTTGAAAACCTTTTGGCTAAGATCAGGTGTAGTATCTGTTCTGATCAGTTTAATATCTGATCCGTGGTCCATCGGACCACATTAAAAAATAAAAATAAAAAAATGTGGAGGCTGCATCCGGCCATGTTCTAGCAGGAAGTTCATTCTCATTTCGCACATTTCGAGAGTGGTGTGGCGATGCCCATAATCCCATCCTCTTTTTATTTTTGGGTCTCGCCGCACGGCACACGAAACGAAAACGAAAAACGAGTGCATCTGCAGAAAAAAAAAAAAAAAAAACGAAACGAGTGCATCTGCCCACGAAAGGAGGAAGATGCACTCGTTTCATTTTTCGTTTCGTGTCCCGTCCGGCGACGCCTTTTGTCTTATCGCTGGCTCGAACTCATGACCTGTTGACTGGCGGTTACATGCATGTGCCATTCTTTCTGGAAAGACGTGGGTAGTCGCATTCTTTCGAATTTATTAATATTATTAATACTTTTTTTTTTTTTTTTTTTTTTTTTAACCTTCCATTCCCTTATAGCAACAAGCATTCAATTTGAGGCCGGGGACCCCACAATTCAACCCGGAGTTATCCCGGCAGCTTCAGCCGGTTTCGCTTACAGCCATCCAGGCTGGCTCACATCTCAACTTGTCTGTTCGAAAAACAAAACCCAAATAATGGCCAAAATCGACTTCATACTAAACTCTTCACCTTTCCATCCCTTTAACTAGCTATCTATCCTAAAGTTAGTAACCTAATATACAGGCCTAAAAAAACGGCCTGACACCGGCCATAAAACGGCCGGTTGGAACCTCTGGTTCCTGTTAGCTCCATGGCTCACCACCCACCACCCTCCTAATGGCCTCCTGTGACCCAAACCAAACCGAGTACCCAGGTTCTGAGAATAAAAGCCCAGCATCACGCCTAGAAAAGCCTCACAAACCACAGACAACAGAACAGAGGACCACTACTATCAACCTACCACCCTACATAATTCTACCCTTCAAACCACTTGGTGATTTCCAATCTCCCCTGGGGTGTGATACGTGCAATTTTTTCTCCCAGGCACCAAGTCTTGCGAAACCACTGTGTGCCCACCTCACTGGCGCCACACGCAGCCTTCCGACGCCAGTCTGCTCTGATCTGCGTCCCTATCAATCTTCGGAAGAACATTTCTGCTTGTCTTTCATGCATATGTTCTCCTTGAAAAAGCCTGCCGTTTCTGTCTTTCCAGATTGTCCACATCAAGGACAACCTCGTCACCTGGGCAACATACTCCCCCCCGCCTGTACCTGCGGAATCATCCGGCAGGTTACCCAATAGAACCCACCTTCTTCCTGTCATCTCCTTCCTCCCAGAAAAAGGCAATCCAGTGTTTGTTCCACCAATTCCACCATTTCTGTGCCCCAGGGCAGTCCCACCATAAGTGCAACATCGATTCCTCCCCTYGCTTGCAAGTCCCGCACAAGGTCTGAACTTCCATATGTCTGTCTTCTAACCACTTCGCTGTTGGCACCGCTAGGTGCGACTGGAGCCAAGCTAGCGATACCAGCTTTTGTGAGGGGAGGCTCTTGAGCTGTTTCCACAGAGTGTYGAGTTCCTSTGCTTCAGGGGGGTCCACCTCCGGGTACTGCCGCTGCCATCGTTTGATGACAATCTCACTGGTGGGAGGTTTCTTGGCAATCAGGGAGAGTGCCAGATTAGGGGTCAGATGATGCAAGCCCATTACTGGGCCGTCCTTTGYTTCCCATMCCCACATGTCAGGGTCAATCTTCATATCCTTGATTGGCATGGCTTCTGCTATCATTGCTAACGAGTCCGGGTGTCMTACCACCGAAGGCGGGGAGCGACRAACCCTGATTTCACTCAGGTTGTTTAAGCCATAACTAGCTCTGATCCCTGCTATCTGCACTTCTGGCAAACCTGGCAGCACTTGATCATAAATCTCCAGCCAGCACTTTCCAGGACAGTCAGACATCCATTCCTGCAGTCTGAAGATCTGGCTGATATYGTCCCCCTCRTCCTTGTACCAYGTATCCACTGGATTAATACCCTCTGGCCCGATTAGAGCGAACCATTCAGAAGGGATGGCATAAATCAGGTCCCTGAGTCTTTCTTCTTGCGATGATAACTGGCCTAGTTGGTCTCGAATTGCCTGTGGAGATTTCCATGAATTTGTGAGGTCGTCCCATAAGTCGCCCAYCGTAGAGATGCCTCTCTGCACCCACTTCATGCCAAAGGAGCCAACTTGTGTGTTGGCCGTGAACAGGCTCCCATCCAATCTGTGCACATAGGAATTCTCAAATAGATGTTGTCTCATCACTTCATCCTTGGAGGATGGCCATTTTACCAGAGACGGCTTCACTTTCCTCCATRCAGATAGGABGTCATTCCAAAAGGTCGAGTTCATTCTCTTGTTCAGAAAGGCATCCAAAAAGRTGCACACCCATACATCTTTCCTTCTCGACWGACCYCATTCCTCTAATAAAATCTCTTCCGBTAATGCAATCCAGTCCGTATCTTGACCCTTTTCTGCCACTTTAGTAACCCATTTCGTCAGCAACGCCAGATTCCTTGATTCTGGATCTGCAATGGCTAGCCCACCCTCTTCCCTTGATCGGCAAACTATCTCCCAGGAGATTTTTGCAATGAAAACTCTCTCCTGCTTGCCATCAGGTTTCCACAGGAAACATCTAGCTACCCCCTTGATGTTTTTCAACATCTCCCCTGAAA